GCAGAACTCAATCTTTGTTTGAGTGGATTAGATTTTGTATCTGTGTAACTCTCTATATCACTGTGCATCTGTTCTGTAGAGTTAGGTTTACTGGTATTGCCCATGATCTTGTTACATTTATTGTCAATAGTCCAGTTAGATTTAAAGTCAGTTATTAAGCTGGGCTTACAGACATTAGTCATACAAGTCTTACAGAAATACTGATTACCTCTCATCACACTACTGTTGATACAACGACATGCTGCCCATACTTTACTGATGGACTCTATTTTTCTTTTCTTGTCCCCATCAGTCATATCTTGATACATAGGGAGGTTTTCTCCCCTGTCTGTGGACTGCTTTAACTTAAATGATTTTTCTGTGTTTTTCCATACAGTTTACTATATCAGAAAATGTATCATGTAAAATAATGTCAACCAGTTCTGATACAGTTAATTTATATTGATCTTCAATAGATCTAGCTAACATCACAGCAGAGAAAGAATCACCTCCACTCAATAAGAAATTGCTCTCCTTTGTTAAATCACAACCTCCAAGTAATTTCTAAAACAGAAAAATTCTATTTTATGTTTATATGTACGTGATGTAAAAGCTCGAACTGCAGCAATTATATTTATGTCAAGAGTGAGTACTTTTCCTTACCATCCACTCTTCTCTTACAGTGTCTTCAACTGTGGCTGAAGAATGACCATTAAATTTATCCTGGCTGTTCAGATACTGGGACAATAAAGCATGGAAGTCACATTTACCTGTTAAATTTACATGTTTAAATCAGGCATATTGTTGCTAGAAATAATTGTAACATACAGTATTTTACAGCCTTACTCTTACCATGTTTTGTAATGGGAATCTCCTGAATGGGAATGATGTTGTCTGGGGTATATTGCCTAGGCAGCATTCTCCCTATAACTAACTGTAGATGGTCCTTAATTGTATGTGTTTTCTGCTGTGGAACTACAAAAACTATCAGTCTTCCTTCATGCATCACTGCTTTACATTCAGAAATGGCCGGGTCTGCTAGTGCTACCTGAAATAAGTACAGAATGATTGCTAGTAACTTGTGTTCACAATGTTGTTCTGTTAGGACTAGGAGAAGAAATAAAGGCTGCTTCATAATAACTGACCTTCTCAATTTCCATCAGGTTAAGTCGGCAGCCATTCCTCTTGACCTGTCTGTCTTGTCTGCCAACATACGTAATTCTGGCCTCGGCCGTCAATTCTTACTAAATCACCTGAATCTCGGAAGTTCTGACCAGATTCCATTGTCTCACCATCTATGATACACTGTCTGTCTTGACCCCCTGTAATGTAAAAAAAAATTATTTAGTCTTCTCCCTCAGTTTCCTGTGTATAATATAGTCATCAACAACGTCACCTCAATAATGTTGACTCTCTTTCTTTATAGTACGTAAATATTCACAAATACATGTATATACCGGTACAAAAGAATGGATTAGTTAGTCTGGCAGATGTACAATGCAGTAGTTTGTACCTAAGTATAACCTCCCTGCTCCCTCTACCACCTCCAATCCTTCTTCATTCAGGACCCTGTAACTGGACTGTGACAATGGTTTACCAAGGGGAACTTCTTCATCACTATTCCTGAAAAAGAATTATGTACTATAAAGATTTGAACAAATACCTCACCTATTTCAACAATAATATAGTACATACGACATGCCAGGTGTACTAATTATTTTTACCAGAACTCCTGGTCCTCCACATAGTGACACATTGACCAGCAGGAGACCTCGGTGATTCCATACAAATTGATAAAGCGAGTCCGATTGCCTGGAGCTCGCCACTCACGAATCTTACTCAGGGGAGGGAACTCCTCTCCACCCAAGGCAAGAATCCTCAGACTGGATGATGAACTCAAGATGGAATCTCTCACATAAGCAGCAGGTTGTCTTTGTATCAAGGAGGGTGTTGCCTTAATGACATAAATAAATTCTCTACCAATATTCATCCATTGCAATGCTATTATGGTCTAAGATACCGGGTATACCAATGCACATATTACATGTATTATAATTCTTGATTGGTTATAACTGTAATATTCAGAAGAATAACCTGTAGGACTGTAACTTTATTACCTCCTATAAATTACAGACAGTAATTTCTTGGACTGGGCTTTAACATGATCTGGTACAATCAAAAGACTGGCTCCACTTGTCAAGGTCACAAAAATTTCCACAATGCTGGGGTCAAAAGTCAAAGGTGAACACAGTAATACCACATCATTACTCTTCATATCATAAATACTCCTGAAAATTGAGATCTATTTTCAAAACTTTTGTCTAATTACACAATGACAATACAATGTTGGTCAATAAAATATGTCCAATGTTGTGTATGATGGGTTCAATACTTGGTTACACATTTTGAATATATGCATGTCTACCAGTAAATAATTCTATGCACACTTTTGATTTTGTATTAGAAACAATATGCCAGTATAGTGTGCTTTTAGTATACAAAGAATAATTTACTGTAGGAAGAAGATCCTATACAGTAGGGTGTGAATTTCCAGCCCTATAAGGATTCTGTTTACCTGATATCTGTGATGTTTGGTATAATACACCTGTGTGGGACTTGTACTAGCTTAGGTTGCCCTGCAGAACCAGATGTCGTAATACAATAAGCTATATTAGGAATTCCTTCTTTTTTCTCACTTCTTTGTTGAATTTTGAGGAGAACTAATCCTAGAGATGATAAAAGTGAGTTTGTAGTCACCTCTCCACCAAACTTCTGTATCAGTCTCTCTATGACCTGCAGTTAAAAGACATTTGAAGTCATTATATGACTGCTTTGTGTGATAAAAAACAATTTATCAGTTAACTTTGCTTTTCATTTGTATCTGTGTTGATGAAATAAATTTATCAAACACTCACCTGTGTATCATCATTCTGGACAAGAATTTTACTGACATTCATCCTTGGGAAAAATGCTGTGGCACCATCTACACCATACTTGTCAAAATTAAAGAAAGCGTGACCACTCTGGACTACTCTGAAAACAGATTTATGAATTTCAAACTACAGGTGTATATCATTCTTTTTAAATACAAACACCCCAAAAACTAAGAATGAATATGATGGGTGGGATTCTGAACATTTTACATATTAATTCCTTGATGGACCAGTCTGTCATAAAATTTTGCTTTTTATACCAGGTGTCTTTTATGACTTACCCAAAGAGGATAGCCGGAGTAAAGAGGTCAGTTTTTCTACATACAGCTATTACCGAGTTATGAACCATATCCTTGTTTAAAGCACCAGATACCTGAAAAATGTTGGCAAATGCAAGCATTCTAAGGCAATCTTTATTCTTTGCTGACTTGCTATGACCAAGATAAATTGACTAATCATTGATAAAATATCTTTCTTACTTTCATCTGCAATTTCCTAAGGATATGTGGCAAATGCAAATAATTTCAAAATAATTTTTATGATTAGCTAACTTGTTGTATCATCAGATGATTGGGATTATTTTCTTACTTTATCTGCTATACTGTATAACTGTCTGTATGTTTGTAACTGCTTTATGTGGAAGTCATCATACATGACAGCCACAGCATCCAGCCATTCTGTCTCATTCCTTCCCAAAACTTGTAATAGAGTTGACATAACGGAATAAAGTTTTCAACAGAAAATCCCAAAAAGAAATAATCATATAGGTGGCAACAATGTTTTTGTTTTTAGAACATGACTGTGTATGGAAAGAAAAAAATAACACTACAATGTTTACATTTTGCGTACAAGTTATTAAATCCAAACAAAGAGTGTGACTAAAATGGGTAGCGAAACCCGGGCCGGGCCGGGAATTTCAAAACTGAGAGCCGGGTTTTTGATAATTACGAGATAAATACTCATTCTTTCTTCATGAAATTTATAGACATCGTTTATAAGTATAGTTTTTGCCTTCGCTGAGAATTTTAAGTCAAAATGTTTTGTTTTTCGATGATTATCGCCGATTGTCCTTTTCCAGGTGACTAAAATGGGTAGCGAGCCCGGTTTACTATTTTGGCGATTTTAAGCTTAATGCATCGAAAGTGTTTGTGAAATTTGCATTTAATGGTTGTTTATTAACTTAATATAGTTAAATTGTTCAATCATTATGAAATTAAATGTCAATTATAAGGGTTTTTGTCATTTTTCATAGACCCGGGACAGGTCAAAACCGGACGCGTTTGCCCGGGGCAAATTAATAATTCCGGATTGCCAGAGAAATAATGTAGATTTTTTTCAGTCTCTGACCGAGATACATCTAAGAAATAAATTAGAAAAAAATAATAAAAATATGTAAATAAAAAAAGAGTCATTTATATTTCATTTATTTGTCATTCTCTGATAAGTATTTCGGATATAAAAGGTTTTTCCCGGGTGAACGTATCCGGTTTTGACCAATCCCGGGTACACAAAAAATGCGTATATTTTCAATAATCGTGATTTATTATTGCAACAGTTAAATGTTTTAGGTAGTTTAAGTTCAATTTCAAAGGTCCAAATGAAATAATTGTAAATATGCTGCCGAAATAGTTTAAATCGCCAAAATGATTAATCTGGGCTCGCTACCCATTTTAGTCACTTGGAAAAGGGCAATCGGTGATAATCATTAAAAAACACAACATTTTGACCTAAAACTATCAGCGAAGGCCAATCCTAGAATAATAAACTATGTCCGTAAATTTCATGAAGAAAGAATGAGTATTTATTTCGTGATTATCAAAAACCCGGTTTTCGTTATCGAAAATCCCGAGCCGGCCCGGTTTCGCTACCCATTTTAGTCACACTCCCAAACAAAAGAATGTTGATCCCGATTTTAAAACAAATAACGGCTTGAACTAAATGTTTTTTGGTTTATTTTTTTTTTTACAATAGTATTGAATAAACAGAACAAAGAAGTAATTCAGATAATGTTTATAAAATTAAGTAACAACGGTCACAGTCTGAAATTAACACTCAAAAATTATAAATAATCAATGTACGTCTTGTCAATTCATTCAATTTCACTTCCGGTTTGGGTAGACAACCTAAAGTGATTTTGGGTAAACCCCAGAGAAATGATATGTTATGTTCATGAAGAATAGTTAATATTGAAAGGTTTGTTATATTTTAACCAACAGGTAAACTTTAACTGTACAAAATGCATTGCTTATTCGCTTCGTGTGGTAATTTATCGAGGAAATTCGGATTTATTCACTGTGTTATAAAAAAAGTCGATTTCTAAGTTATATATATTTCTATAGCCTTTAAAAGATTTAATCTTCATTTACCTATGTCAACTCACTGATTTATGAACCTGGTCCCAGGAATGAGAAGATCATGGAGCATGTGAAACAGACTTTCATTAATTTTCTATGAGTCAATTTTATTTTTAGTTAATATAATTAATGAGTGAGTTCTACCACTACATTGCACTAATACCCTTTAAGGGGAGTTGAATATTTTCTGATTATCTGTGTTAATTGCTTTGGATAAACTAACAACTGAAAATTATTTTTTCAGCAACATGGCCACCAAAGTTGTAGCGAATCCTGAGATGGATATTTTGAAAGATGAACGTGAGGGTAGACTTCGTGAGGTTGGAAATCAGGCTGTGTGGTCACTGTCCTCTTGTAAACCTGGTAGGCTGCATCAAATTCAGCTTCTGTGTAAAAATCCTGACAAACACTAGGTCATGAATGACTTATGTAAACACACTTGCAGCAAGAAGACTTTAATTTGTTTAAGATGGTATATCGTAAGTTTAAAAGTTTACTTTGGTTGCAAAGATATCAAAGTATTTATTTCTGTAATCATTCACTTTGCGTTTAGAAGAAAATTATTTAGTCTTGGAAGTACAATGTATTCACATGTATTCATTGGTCAAAGGCCAAGTACAGGCGTATTATACATTTAAGGCTATCTCTATAAATACCTGTGTGTAATAATAAAGTCGTAAATTGTCCCTAGGTTTTGGTGTAGAGCAGCTACTGGATAATACAGTGGACACATACTGGCAGTCCGATGGACCACAACCACACCTGGTCAACATCCAGTTCAGGAGGAAGACCACCATCCATGATGTGTGTATCTACACCGATTATAAAGCTGACGAGAGCTACACACCTAACAGGTATGCATCCATGATGTGTGTATCTACACAGATTATAAAGCTGATGAGAGCTACACACCTAACAGGTATGCATCCATGATGTGTGTATATCTACACTGATTACAAAACTGACGAGAGCTACACACCTAACAGGTATACATCAACGCCACAGCATGATACGCCTGTCAAAAAATTACAATTACAATGTATCTTAAACAGTTAAAAGTGCAGGAAAATCATGTCAACCTTGATTTTAAGATTTCAATGATTTTTACACACCTTAAAAAATTTGTTTATCCATCTCCTGTGGTGTAGGCATTAATTATAACAAATATTGCATCATTTATAGATTTCTATACCTTGCCAAGATTTAATGTCAGACATTTAATTGTTAATATGCAATTCATATGGACATGCAGATTCCACCCCTACCCCCATAAAATTAATTTTTAAGTTCATAATATTATGTAATATCAAAATAATTTCATATGCAATATAAAATTAGTTTTAATTACTTCTCATCAAATTCATTTTAAAACTTTGGCTAGCCAACAAGAGCTTGTTTTAATCCAACAGGCTTACCCATTTGGCCCAATACTCAAGGGATATAGATAGCACCGATGCTCTTACAGCTACTCCTCGCACTAAAATCATTAATTTTTCTCTCTAATTTGACATGCAATTTTCTGTTATCAAAATTCTTCTTGACCAGTGCTTGATGATTAGACTCATGGGAGTGGTGGAATTTCTCTAACATACATTATATTTGTTATAGATTGCTGTCAAGTATATGCTAAAAAAAAAATAAGTATTTTCTTGATTTAACATTTTTCTAATAAGGTTAGTGCAATAGTTTTACATTTTTTTGAATGTGTAAATGAATAGAAAGTAAAACATTTTTTTTTTAAATTCCACTTAAATTAAAGGTCACAGTGACCTTGAAATAGGTCGCGACACACCTTCTACCTAAGATGCATAAACTGGCCAAGTTTGATGATTCTAAGTCTAATAGTTTTCTAGTTATGGACCGGACAGGATTTTTCCATATTTGGCTATAACTTTTTAATTATAGGTCAGAGCGACCTACTTTTTATGCGCGACACCCCTTCTACCCAAGATGTATCAGCTGACAAAGTTTGATTACTCTAGGCCTTATAGTATTAAAGTTATGAGCCGGACACGAGAAAAGCTAACAGACGGACGGACACAAAGCCTATAACATAATATGTCCCGTCTTAAGACGGGCGTATAATTAAAAAGCTGATGAGAGCTAGTACACACCTATAACAGGTATATATCCACAATGTGTGTATCTACAAACTCAGATTATAAAGCTGACAAAAGCTACACACCGAACAGGCATACATCCACATGTGTGTATCTACACAGATTATAAAGCTGACAAAAGCTACACAACCAATAGGTATAAAAAATAACTGATGTACAATACAGCTTCATACTAGTAGGCTACAGAAATCTCAGTTCTATCCAAATTACAAATTTATCTATAACAACCACAAAACTCTGCTTAACATTTAAAATGTATCACTACTCAGTATCAAAATTATACACCTAATAGGTATCAAAACTACAACCTGGTCAATTTCAAAACTGCACATCTCAAAGATTTTAAAACTGCACACTTCATAAAAACAAAGTTTTCACATCTTTATAGATATCAAAACTACACACCTCTTCGATTTCACAGTTACCACATTAAATATTAAATCTAGACAGGTATCACAACCACACACCTTTTTGATACTGAAACTGCACACCTCATACATATCAAAACTGCACATTTTATGGATATCAAAACTACAGTCACATCTTGTAGTTGTCACAGCTACACACCTCAGTGATACACATATATTATACATTGTGATTTAATATTCGCAATTTTTTTTATTAAAACATTCATGGAAATTCCAGCTTGTCCCTGAAAACCTGTATAGCTTTTACAGAAAAATTTATTGTTTCTGCATTTTTTCTTCATTTACCAGTACATGAATTGAAATTCACAATGTACGAGGGTTGTTCGAAAAGTTTGTGGACTCCTGTCATATCTTTTTTATCATGTTTATTTAACGCCATATGTTAAACAAATTTGGTAGAGATATTTTAGCAATAAATCCATATGATTTCTATTAAAAAAAAATTAAATTATCATGATTTATTTTAAACCTATCCAGAATTTAAAACTGCAAAACCGGACAGCGGAGCAGGTAAAAATTTAGTGCTTAACAAACAACACACAAAATAAATATGACAATAGTCATATTCTCTGTAAAATGGAGGAAAAACAGAAAAAATCATAGACATTTAAATTAACAACTGTTATATTGATTCATATTCCAAATTATGGTGTAATATTTTGATTTGTTGAAAAGGAATCAATTTGGGAAGATAGGTAGTTCTTATTGAAAGCGACAAAAATGATGACATTGTTGAATGTCATGGAGCAGCAGATATCGATACCATTTTGTGATATACTAGGGGAAAATCCTGAATAAACTCTAAAAATGTTATAGGAATAAAAAATAAGTCACAATTAAGTCGTGCATGTTTTTATAAATCATGCAGGTGGTAATTGAGTGACAGAGTCTCTGCATGTATCGGACGACAACAATCTGTGAAGAAACTGTTTATCTGATAAAATCTGAACAAAAACTTTAAAGCGGCACAGTGAGTCAAAATCATATCGTAATTTTAAGATATCTGTAGCATACAGAGAAAGACTTATGAAATTATGAGTATTTAGCGAATATATGACAATTAAACTGCAAGAATTGACTGCACAATATAAGTGCCGGAAAAATAAAGGTTGTATCTACCGTTTCGTTGTTTCGGTTATGTCAAGGTCACGCAGCTCTTATTTTTAGCTCAAACTTGTAAACAACATTCAACTGGAGCATGCAAAGGTGAGAACATCCTCACAATGTCAACTTTTGTGTATTTCTCGAACTCCAACTTTTGTGGAGTTCGAGAAATCACGAACCCTTCTGTGAGGATTGTGGATAACTGAGACCTTACATTCATTCGTGGATAACTGAGACCATGGTAACTATGGAAACTTATTCAACACTTTTCTGCGCACGCGTACAATAGGGAGGAAGAAGTACCAGGGTATTTTGCAATATTTTCGTTCTGGGGCAGACAGAAATTATTTTTACTTTTATTTTTCCCCATAAAAATATCATTTATAGGTTCTGAAACATGTAATTTTCTGAAACTAAATACCTTAAGAAATTGAACAAAATTTACAGAGGTCATGCAAAAATTCTACATTTGTCAATTTTCCCCTTTGTGCGTCACAGTGCCGCTTTAAAAATTTGGAATGTCATGGAGTGACATAGTTGCTGATCTTTAGAAAGCACAGCTAAGTGGTAAAAGAAATTAAAACATTGACAAAGAAAATTATACAACGAGAACAATTGTTAGAAAAATGAATTTCTAGGCTAGAAAAAGTTTTTGATACGTGATTATTGAACTAAACTGTTAAATTGTATAGGGATAGTTCTTTTGAGAAGTTCTTGACGCTATGTTTTTTACGTTACATTGCCGTTAAATATGCTCCGCGGGTATAAAACTTGTTGATTTTAAATTGAAGTAAATTGATTTCTATTAAATCGAATGAAATGAAACTTAATACATCAACAAAACAAACACTTTTACACAGGATATTGAGCTTATTTCAAATATCTTGAAAGTAGTATAATGAAGATTGACATCGTCCACGAACTTTTCGAAGAACCCTCGTACTAGTAATTTATTATGATAATTGTATCATATGGTTTTTGTGAATTTTCAGAATTTCTCTCCGTGCTGGTACACACTTTAATGACCTTATTGAAGTAGATCAAATAGAACTCAGTGAACCAGTGGGCTGGGTGTGTGTCCCAATGAAAGACATCAATGATAAACCTATCCGGACATTCATGGTTCAGATTGCAGTGCTTTCAAATCATCAAAATGGACGAGACACACACCTTCGTAGAATTAAAATTCGATCTCCGGTACAGGACACATATGTTGTTAAAACACCAAAGTTCACCAGTCTAGAACTAATGCAGCTGGCCTATATAAAGTGAGTTATGGTGGAACATTATATTGATGTAATAAGCAGTGATGCTGAATGTTATGCCACAATCCATCATAGAAATACATGTTACAACTGTCTCAGACAGCTTGTAAAATGTAGTTACCCGCCCAATACAATTGGAAAATATGGGGTAAATGTTTGAAATCTGTTTTGGTAAAATGAAAAAGCATTTTGTTGAAATCATGTATTGTCAAAGTTTTTCCAACAATGATCAACTTAGGCAGGTTCGATGTATATTGCATAAAGCTTTATCACTGGAAAGGTACATTATAAAGCTATACATTTTTTAACCCTTAAAATATTTTCATAGGCCAAGTCATACAATGATTGTTAACAAAAAGAATGAAATGTTCAAAATGATAAACATGATTTTACCCAATAAATATTAAAACCACCCCAGCAGCATAAATAAATTAAAAGTCAAGCATTTTGGCTCTGAGTTGCTTCTATTTTTTAAAGTAAGGCTGTAGGACTGCCTTGATGCCCTCAGAGAATGGTGTCCTCCTCCCTGAGACCAGAGCTTCCATTCTCTTACAAGAGAGGTGGGTGTTGTAAGGGCGGGGCGCCCCCTTGGATGGGCTTCTGTCAGGTTTTATGTTCTCTGTGCTCAGTGAGAATGCAGAGGCCATGGCAACAGACATGTCATATTTAGTCATCTCCTCTTTAGATGACCAGTGAAACACACCACACACTTTCTCAGGATTCTGTGAATTTAAAACAAAATATTTTAAAAAGATAAAACAATGAAGCACTGATACAAACAAATCAAGAGACCATTCTGTAGAGTTAGAGCTGTCAAATAGCATCAGTTATGTCAGCTTACCTGTATCCTTTTGTCTGCTAGCTGTCTAATACTATCAGCTATGTCAAACTACCTGTAGCCTTTTGTCTGCTAACTGTCTAATAGCATCAGCTATGTCACCACAGTGGGTGGGGTATCTCTTCTCATAATCAGATGCTATTAATTCAGATCCTGCCATGATCTTCTCAAACAGTACTGTGACGGCACTTTCAGAGAGATACTCAATATCCCCATACAGGATCGGTACTCGCAGTACAGAGTTATCTGTTGGGAAATCAACTGATTATTACCAATATACATGTAAATCTTTTACAAAGAGCCTGCTTGTTATAAACACAGAATGTACCGTATAAGTGGAAATTTTAGCGAGACGCAAATTTAGCGATTTGTCCTCAAAAAGTGGTATTCAATTTTTAGCGAGATGTAATTTTAGCGATTTTAAAATGCTTACTAAAGAAGCTTTTACATATAAAATGCAATTAAATTTTAGCGATATTCAAATTTAACGATCTCAGCACTCTCGCTAATAAAGCCAAAAAAAAAATCCTCGCTAAAATTTCTACTTATACGGTATTAGTAAACAGTTAAAATTTCCAGTTTCAAATACATGTACATGTAAAACTATGTTCATCAGTGGCCTCATCTGTCTTGTAAAATTTTGAAAAATTTTCATTTTTGGAGTAAATGTTTTCACTCAACTTTATTGTGATATCATGAATGGCATGACTTTTCCCTTTTCTTCCAAATGAATATTGTAAGATGTTAGCAAATGTATTCACTAAATTCAACCTTTTTAAAAATTTTGTTTCAAATATCAAACTAGAAAAAAAAAGAAATTCTCCTGAGTCCTCAGCTTTACAACAGTTGAGTTTTTGATTTTATTAACAGCTAGTTACCTGAAGATGCTTGTAGTGCAATTTTTTCACCATCTAGTTTACTCTGTCCGTACTTATTGAGAGGGTTAGGCTTGGCATCCTCTTCATAAGGAGGGAACGTCCCATCAAATACATAGTCTGTGCTAATATACAGGACCCAGGCACCAATGCTCTCTAAAATGCAATACAGTTGTAAGTGGAGAAGAAGAATTTGATGAAACAGATAAATGTTTGACCATGAGTCCCCTGGACTATCAAATATGCTATATGTCCAGTAATTCAAGGGGGGTGGGGTTGAATCCTAGTGTGGTCTATTGTATTTTCCCCCCAAAGGTAATATTTGGCCCTTTGCCATGCCCTGGAAATGTCAGGTAAAATACTTGTCAAGGAAGAGTCTGGGTTGATGGTTTTGAGGATGAAGACCACTAAGTAGGCCTTTCAACAGCCGCTGGAGGTCGGTGTTATGAACGATAACTCACTGCTGAAACTTATTTTGAGCAGGCTCGGGTATCTAACTGTTTACTCGCAAGGCAGATTTTAGCATTTCCTAAGTGTTTCTTTGCTTTCAGTAGAATCCAGTGGTTTTAAAATTTAACACCAATGTTAAACTTATTTACTGCATAGTTGCGGACACTATTTAACTACATATACTTAAAATTTTTGATTAAAATAAAAAATGAAATCTACCCTCCTTCTTAGTTCTAACCTAATTAATTTTTTATACTCGGCCGTTCCCCTTTGTGCTTAGTAACACAAATAAGATGATCAATTGTTGCATTTACTTGTAAAAATAAATTTATTTATATAGGAAGCGAAAAGCGCGAACACAAAAAAATGACATTAAATTTTCTTCTTCATAATAATCGTCAAAGAGAGTTAAAAATATTGAATATAGTCTGTTCCCCATTCATTTGACCTTGTTATTTAATTCAGGTAGAGTGAAGGCATTCTTTTTCTCTTGGTCAACACTTTTGTGTACAAAACAACAATGTAAGGAACCCTTTTGTGTACATAACAATACCAATGCTGAAGCAGCCTATACGTCATTCCTATAAACGATAACTTATAAAACGGCACTTAGTTGGTCATTTTTCACACCTGAGTTACCTGTCCTTAAAACACAACATCGGGAAAGTCAATTATAAATAATTAAATTTTTTAATGATGTAATTAAAAGTTTGTATAAGTTATTATCTTTTTTAATAATTTCATGCACCTATAGATCTATCTAGGCAATGTTTTTTACCATATGAGCAACTTGAAAAATTAGTTGAAAGGCCTACACTAAGGGAGGAATGTAGCAGTCTGGCAGGTTTAATCACCTGTGACCAGATAGCTCAGGGGGCTTGGGTTTCAATCCTGGTCTGAACTGTTGTATCTTTATCCTAGTCAGTTACCGATTAACAGTATTGCATGTGTAAGTAAACATGATTTAGAATACATTATTTGTCCTCAATTAAACAGGGTATGTGGTACAAGTACTATCTGTTCAGAACATTCTCCTTTATTCATTTATAAAATTTTATCAAAATATAATTCTAATACTTTAAATCACTTTTTATTCGCGAGAACTTTATTTTCGCGTAATTATGCGAGACAGTGTGCTCGCGAAAATTTAATTCTCGCATTTAATAGTATTCCTTCAGAATATATAGAGCCATATTGGATAACCACAATTCGCGAAAATTTTGTCTCGCTTATCAAGAGTCAATGACTATCTCGCGAAATTAAGGTGTTGCGAATATTTAGTGATCTACAGTAGTTAATAATATTTATTTCGGATTGAATGACTACTGTAGACCACTTAATTTTCGCTATCTCTATTTTCTTGAGATAGTCATTTACTCTTTATCAGCGAGACAAAATTTTCACGAATTGTGTTCGTTGCTCTATATAATCTTAAGGAATTCTATTATTTGCGAGAAGGAAATTTTCGCGAGCATATATACCGTCTCGCGTAATTACATGAAAATAAAGTTCTCGCGAATAAAAAGTGACTTACAGTATAATGACGGAATATTACAAGTAATTGTTGAAGTATTTATTACTTGCAGCCTGACAGATGTACTCTGTGGCAGACAGATTAAGGTTCTTGGTGCCCTCAGGGTCATTTTCCACTGCATCAGGTTTCCTCTCTGCAGCACTGTGGATTATTACTGACGGCTGTTTAAAAAAAAATCATGAGTTGTTTGATTATGCTCTTTTATTTGTGTACATATGTTTATGTATCAATGAGTATTTCTTACAAAAATCAGCAAAAAAAGCTCACTTTGAAGGAGTTGATGACTTCTTTTACTTGGCTTTCATCAGTGATGTCCACCTTCTTTAGTTTATCTTTAGCTCGACTGAAAGCGAGACCCAATGTTTCCCAGGAGTCATCCCTGAGGAATTCCTTGTAAATGGCTCTCCCAAAGAGACCTGAAGCACCCGTAACGAGGACCCGCTTTGTCATAATCTTTATCAATGGAAAATGGTTAAGGGACAAACTTATATACACTAAATTAAAAAAAAACAAGTTATGCACTTTTCACTTAATTAACAGGTCCAGTACACTCACTAGATTTAGTATACATAGCTTCATTAATTTACCTACATAGCTTTATTTGCCTACCTAAAGTAGCTTTATTTACCTAGACCAAATCAATCTTTCCTTAATTTTTTTGTCTACAGAGATAAAGTGAAAGTAGGAGATTCGGTCGGGATCGATACTTGCATTGACAATAACTCGAACAAAGACTATTCGGTTCAAAGTAAAAAAAAAAATAATCATGGGACTTGCTCCCGGTATGTAACAATTAATGTATATTTATTTTAATACGGTAATAATAAAACAACGTAGCACAAGCACCTGATGTTACTTATTTTCCTTTTAGAAAATATACACCCACATAATAATATTGTAACGTGTTTGCCTAACACATATACTTAGATTTTTCTCAGGGTCTATATAGTCTATGGAAGGGAATTACCGCCAAAATTCTATGTATCTTGCTTTTATTCTTATTCTGCCTACTTCTTTATGCTTTGTTATTATTGTAATTATATGTCACTTTATTGTTTTCGTATTCGTCTTTATTACATTACACTTGAGCTTTTATCGTTCTTTATTTTGCCCTTACTTCTATGTTGCTTTATTCATTTTACTTCCTTTTAAATCGATACAGTTTCTTAAATGATTATCTCAATTACATACGTGAATTCAATCACACAAAGAATGAAGCATATTCAATGAAGACGAATACAAGTTGTCAAAATTTAGTGCCGCATTATAACGCTAGGTGGCAGGGGTGTTCGCTACGAGTGCTGGTAAAACTAGGTCAGCAAACCCGGGCCGGGGTTATTTAAGATTTTTCAATTTTCTGCCTTAATACTTATTCAATCGAATATCTGAAGGCCGAATCTGATCACCCGATACAATGATGGAAACTCCATATAATATTTATTTTCTCTGGGCACACAGGAATAGCGGCCTCTTTTTTTCAGACATAACTTTACATACCGGTAATGTTCATTAAAAGTCCGACCCACTTGGGTCAAATAAGGTTAATGTAGTATAGTACATTTAAATTTGATACTATATATGAAGTTGAATTTAACCCAAAACCCACACCGCCCCCTTAATATGATATCATTGGCGTCGGAAGCAAAGTGAAAATTGGGGCCGGGGGGATGGGGGCTAAGCGTAAGAAATATTTTTTAGACCTTGAAAAAAAAAACATGACAAGCAAAATAAAAAAGAGAGAGAGAGAAATGTTCTTTGTCCAAACACAAAATCCTATTTCGTGTGTGTGTGGTGGTGATGGGTGTCAAATTACAGTGCCAATTTTTTGTTCAAAACACCACCACTTTCCACATTTTCAACCTATAGGCCTACTGCATCGTGTCCATGGAAAGTGGGGGGGGGGCTAAACCTACGCAGTAATATTCAATGTCTATACTAAGTTTAACTTTGGAAAAAAGTGGGGGCTAAGCCCTCTCCCGGTTCCGATCGACGCCTATGTATATTCAAGTTTAGAAATTTCTTGGGGTTTTTTTTTTTTTTTTTTGCTTGTCAAGTTTTTTTCAGCGGATAGCTTGAATTTTCAAAACCCATGCTACGTCACAGTTCTCTCGCCTGAAAAATATCACTCTACTAAAGTTATTTGTTGGATAATTAAATTCCAGTATAACAGTTTAATTGACATAATAATGTTAAATATTTTGATACTAGATACCCCTTTATAAATTTATAAATTGAGTTGTTTTTCAAGACGTTCCCAGGCGTGGATCTAGGAAATGAAGTTAGATGGGCGCCAAAAGTAAGCAAGGTGTCTGGGGTCCCGCCTTGAGGCCCCCAGTGGGTCAAGGGCAAAGCCCTGGTGGGGGGCTCAGGAGGCGAGACCCCCGGAAGCTCCTGGGTTCTAGAGATTTTGTAGAGTAAAAATTAGATCTACCAAGTAGGCATATTTACATTTTTCCAGACGAGATTGTGATTTATGTTTACTTTGACAATTTTAGGGGGGGGGGGCGCCGGGCGCGCCACCTCCTTAAATACGTCACTGGTTCCACTGAACTGAACTTTATTTCACGACAGATAGTAATTGCTCATGCGTGTGATTCTAGGGACGGGTCTTTGCAAAGGAGTGAGAAGTGTTATGGGTAGGCAAAGTCGGAACCAGGGAACACCTTAGGCATACTAGAAACTCCCCAGTCTTTTTTATGCATTAATATTTTACATTGAAATAGCACTTTTTAATAAAGAAAAAAATATCTTTAGAACGCAACGTATTTTACATCAGCCAGTAGAGTTTCAAAAAATCTTAAAATTTGAAAATTCTGTATTTGGTGGTGGTGAAGTGGCGGGGGGTTCGTCAACTTGTTTTCAGTACCAAATATTACTCATATGTACATATGCCACTAAGTACATGTTTATTAATATGTTAATTGACTACATTGCATAGGCGTCGGAACCGGGGGGCAGACGCCGTAACGACAGTGCTACGCGGGCGATTGCACCCGGGGGGAGGGGCATCCACGGGACCGGGGGGGGGGGATTCATTACCCATTTGTACTCGTGAAGATTATCTATGTCAAAATAAATGGTTAAAATAATTTAATTATTAACCACTATTAAAATGGTTTCATTTAAACATTTATTCATATGGGACGGATAACTTTTCTTCAAAAACTGAAAACGTTAGCATATAAACATTGTTTTACGATTAAAAAAATATTCGGGGGAGGGGTTGCTATGAAGGGGGACGAATTGCTATATACAGCCAGATTTCCCACGGAAGCCTTCAAGGCTAGCTACATATTGACACTTCCCCGGGGGAGTCTCACTGTATAGTCTTCCGAAGGAAGCATCACAATGTAGGGAAAATCTTACCATCTTCCGAGGAAATGGCATTATCTGGGGCACACCCTGAATTTATAAAAAACATCATTTGAAAATTTAAGTTCGATTGATAAAGTATTAAGGCAGAAAATTGAAAAATCTTTAATAACCCCGGCCCGGGTTTGCTTACCTAGTTTTACCAACACTCGTATAGCGAACACCCTGCCACCTAGCGTTATAATGCGGCACTAAATTCTGACAACTTGCATTCGTCCTCATTGAATTTAGTGCCGCATTATAACGCTAGGTGGCATTTTTTACATGATTGAATTTTCGTTCGTAATCGAGATAATCAAGATAGTTTATTTAAGAAACAGTATCAACTTAAAAAGAAAGTAGAATGTATTCACAAGAATAAAGCAACATAGAAGTAAGGACAAAATAAAGAACGATAAAAGCTCAAGTGTAATGTAATAAAGACGAATACAAAAACAATAAAGTGACATATACAATAATAACAAAGCATAAAGAAGTAGGCAGAATAAGAATAAAAGCAAGATACATAGACTTTTGGCGGTAATTCCCTTCCATAATAGTGCCCCCAGATAACTTGCTGAGGAATTTGATTGTTGACTAGAAATTATTTACATATGCAAAATATACAGTTATCGGGTGCTTCCCTAGCAGGCAAATAAACTAAATAATTAATTAAACTGCCTCCAAATCAATTGGGCTTCTAACTCTGGAACGACTTCAAGAAGCATCCAACATTGGCGTCGGAAGCAAACTGAAAGGGGGGGGGGCTAAGTGTAAAAAAAAATTTGGGGGGGGGGGGGGTAGGTTCGAACTTCAGTACAAATTTTTTTTCCAAACACCACCTTTTTTCCCCATTTTAAACCTATACTGCGACGTGTCTGTGAAAAGTGTGTGTGTGTGTGTGGGGGGGGGGGGGGGGGGGGGGGCTAAACCTACGAAACAATGTCCAATGTCTATACTAAATACATATCTGGAAAAAAAAAGTGGAGGGGGGCTAAGTCCCCCACCAGCCCCCCCCCCCCCCCCCCCCCCGGTTCCGACGCCTATGCCCAAAGAGACAACTAAAGCGCCAGCACGTCGCTTCTACCAGAAGCGACATGTTACTCCTAGATTATCACAGAAAGCCCGTTTATGCACCGCTCACGTAGACTGTTACATACTGGGTAAAAACTGTTCTGCACATCGCAAGGTAATCATGACTTGTGAACAGACTTACACCTCTCCGTTCCGCAATCTATCAGTAACTGACTCTAGCGACTCTTGAGGCCTTATATATACGCTAATAAAATCACGTGACAAGCCCACTATCTGGGAACTCGGGGTTTTACGAACTCAGGGTCCTTTCGGAACGCCATGACGATGTCCCCTTCCCTTAATTATCTATTTCCGTTACAATATTAGGTAGGGTTATATATCACTTACCTATTAATTATATGAGGTTTGTTGAAATTTTTTCCCCGCAAATTATTTTTTATAGGACCTATTACACTTATTCATGTACTACCCAAAGGTTGTCATAGCCAAGGGGTGGCAATAGGGATATATGGGATGAGCTCCGATTGTCTATAAAATTCTCATTATGGCGTGCGCCTCAAATAACACCTGACAACCAAAGTCCAGCTCCCAGCCTGCTGTGTGGCTTTCATCAAGTCCGGCGGAACTGCTACTACCCTGCCTATGAAAACAGCAAGTTACAGAAGCATCAACGACAAACCAAAACCAACATAACCTGGGCTAGATTGTATGGGCCTACTTTAAGGGGAACTATGATGCTGTGCAATGAAAGCCGAAACTGCAGAGCTGACTCCCTTTCTGACTCCCAGGAAAACCATCAGATTTGCCACCTGGAACATCAGAACAATGTATGAAGCAGGAAGAACAGCACAAGTGGCAAAGGAGATGAAGCAATACAACATCTGTCTCCTGGGACTAAGTGAGACAAGGTGGCTACAGAGAGGACAGCTGAGGCTAACCACCGGAGAAACACTGTTGTATTCAGGACACACCGAGGAGGGAGCCCACCACACCGAAGGTGTAGGTCTGATGCTATCCCTAGAGGCACAACGTGCTCTCATCGGATGGGAACCTGTCAACTCCCG